TCAAAACGCCTGAAGGTACTACGTTAATCTGTACAAACAATAGTACGCAAGTATAAACTCCATGGGACGACGCAGCCGTCATACCACTCAGGAAGGAGACGCATTCTGTCTCCTAGAGATGAACGTACTTTGGTGCGAAAAGTGCAAATCAATCCCAGAACAACAGCAAAGGACCTTGTGAAGATACTGGAGGAAACGGGTACAAAAGGATCTATATCCACAGTAAAACGAGTCCTATATCGACATAACCTGAAAGGCTGCTCAGCAAGGAAGAAGCCACTGCTCCAAAACCTCCATAAAAAAGCCAGACTACGGTTTGCAACTGCACATGGGGACAAAGATTGTACTTTTTGGAGAAATGTCCTCTGGTCTTATGAAACAAAAATTGAACTGTTTGGCCATAATGACCATCGTTATGTTTGGAGGAAAAAGGGGGGCTTGCAAGCCGAAGAACACCATCCCAACCGTGAAGCACGGGGGTGGCAGCATCATGCTGTGGGGGTGCTTTGCTGCAGGAGGGACTTGTGCACTTCACAGAATAGATGACATCATGAGGAAGGAAAATTATGTGGATATATTGAAGCAACATCTCAAGACATCAGTCAGGAAGTTAAAGCTTGGTCGCAAATGGGTCTTCCAAATGGACAATGAACCCAAGCATACTTCCAAAGTTGTGGCAAAATGGTTTAAGGACAACACAGTCAAGGTATTGGAGTGGCCATCACAAAGCCCTGACCTCAATCCTATAGAAAATGTGTGGACAGAACTGAAAAAGCGTGTGCGAGCAAGGAGGCCTACAAACCTGACTCAGTTACACCAGCTCTGTCAGGAGGAATGGGCCAAAATTCACCCAACTTATTGTGGGAAGCTTGTGGAAGGCTACCCGAAACGTTGGCAATGCTACCGAATACTAATTGAGTGTATGTAAACTTCTGGCCCACTGGGAATGTGATGAAAGAAATAAAAGCTTAAATAAATAATTCTCTCTACTATTATTCGGACATTTCACATTCTTAAAATAAAGTGGTGATCCTAACTGACCTAAAACAGGGAATTTTTACTAGGATGAAATGTCAGGAATTGTGAAAAACTGAGTTTAAATGTACAGTGGGGGAAAAAAAGTATTTAGTCAGCCACCAATTGTGCAAGTTCTCCCACTTAAAAAGATGAGAGAGGCCTGTAATTTTCATCATAGGTACACGTCAACTATGACAGACAAATTGAGATTTTTTTTCTCCAGAAAATCACATTGTAGGATTTTTTATGAATTTATTTGCAAATTATGGTGGAAAATAAGTATTTGGTCAATAAATACTTTGTGAAATTGAATAAATTGTGAAATTGCTTTACCCACAAGCCATAAGTCTGCTGAACAATTAATCAAAGATTTGCATTGACCCCCCCCCCCTTTACCCCTACCTACATGTACAAATTACCTCGACCTAACCTGCACATTGACTCGGTACCCCCTTGTATATAGCCTCATTATTGTTATTTAGTGTTACTTATTTTTTTTATTTTTTTTTACTTTAGTTTATTTAGTAAATATTTTCTTAACTGCATTGTTGGTTAAGAGTTTGTAAGTAAGCATTTCACGGTAAGGTCTAAACCTGTTGTATTCGGTGCATGTGACAAATAAAATTAGATTTGGACAGCCTTGCCGAATTCCACAATTACAATTGAATTGTGGAGAGGTACCATGAGGAAGGGAGACTGAACTGTTAATAATATAATAAGCCATTTAGCAGACGCTTTTATCCAAAGTAACTTACAGTCATGTGTGCATACATTTTTACGTATGGGTGGTCCCGGGGATCGAACCCGCTACCCTGGCGTTACAAGCGCCATGCTCTACCAATTGAGTTACAGAGGACCATGTTACAATATAACATTTTCATGGTATCAATACATTTGTTACCAAATCCAAAATGTTTGAGATTGGGAGATTCATCCCTTAAGAAGATCAGTTACATTTTCAATAACCCTTAATGAGAGATTTATGGATTGTAGGGCAAACCAATCAGGTGGTTGTTCGACAAAACAAAGCTTCGGACGTCATTGATCACGTGCTTCTGATAAAGTGATACAAGCATCGGCACACAGCTTCGAAGTAAACTGCATAGCGATTTCGACGCATGCCTCGGAGCTCCGGTATCAAACGTAACATCACTATTACTTAGCCATCTTTTCAACTGACAAACTAAACGTTTGAATAAAGTCTGATTTAAAATCCATAGAGCAGCGTTGCATAATTGAAATGGCTTGATTGAACAACTTGAGTTCAGCGTTTGCTAGCTAACGTTTGCAACTGGCATCAGAACTAGCTAGCTAACCTAAGCAACTAGGCACTGTACTGTACTGGACAAAGCCTCCTGCCCACTGTAAATGTGTGATTTAGCTAATAGCTAACTTATACTGAACAAAAATATAAACGCAACATGTAAAGTGTTGGTTCCATGTTTCATGAGCTGAAATAAGAGATCCCAGAAATGTTCCATATGCACAAAAAGCTTATTTCTCTCCAATTTTGTGCGCACATTTGTTTACATCCCTGTTAGTCAGCATTTTTCCTTTGCCAAGATAATCCATCCACCTGATTAAACAGCATGATCAATACACAGATGCACCTTGTGCTGGGGACAATAAAAGGCCACTCTAAAATGTGCAGTATTGTCACAACACAATACCACAGATGTCTCAAGTTTTGAGGGAGCGTGCAATTGGCACGCTGACTGCACGAATGTCCACCAGAGCTGTTGCCAGAGAATGTTCATTTCTCTACCATAAGCTGCCTCCAAAGTCGTTTTCCAACCGGCCTCACAACCGCAGACCACGTGTAACCACACCAGCCCAGGACCTCCACAAATGGCTTCTGCACCTGTGGGATCGTCTGAGACCAGCCACCTGGACAGCTGATGAAATTGAGGAGTATTTCTGTCTGTAATAAAGGCCATTTGTGGGGGAAAAACTCATTCTGATTGGCTGGGCCTGATACCCAGTGGGTGGGCCTATGCCCTCCCAGGCCGAACTCATGGCTGCGCCCCTGCCCTGTCATGTGAAATACATTCATTAGGCCCTAATCTATGGATTTCAATTGACTGATTTCCTAATATGAACTGTAACTCAGTAAAATTGTTGCATGTTGCGTTTAAGTTTTTTGTTAAGTATAGTTAGTTAGGCGCATTAGCATAGAAACGGCGGTAGGCTTGCTAGCTAGCCAATACTGCGTTTTCTGAACAAAGTGTGCTAGCTAACTATAGCATTGAGTTGTCACACTGAGTCAACTGTATCCCCACCGTTGGTCGTGAAGTAGACCAGTGTTTCCCTACCCTAGTCCTCGAGTAGCCCCAACAGTACACATTTGTATTATAAACCTGGACAAGCACACCTGATTCAACTTGTCAACTAATCATCAAGGCCTCAATGAGCTGAATGAGTTGTGTTTTTCAAGGGCTACAACGAAAATGTGTACTGTTGGGGGTATTCGAGGACCAGGGTTGGGAAACACTAAAGTAGACTATTGTTTTGCAGCCAAGTACCAACATCACCCCCTCTAGCCATCCTGGCCTTTCCTTGTTTTGATGGCTGTTGTCTTCCCAACCAAGAAAATTAATTTTTTCACACATTCCTGGAAGAACTGAACGCTTACCTACAGAGAGAACCAGAAAAGGTATGCTGACATTTACTGCATTCTGTCACAATCATAAATTGAGGGCTTGTATAATTAATTTAATTTGCCTTGTGGGACACATTCCCTGCCAAAGCCATTTAGCATTAATTGCCTTTAAATGCCAGTGGCATTTAGCTACCTGTCGCAGATCATAATGCACCTACAGGTGATCAAAGTCTATCTGTGAGTTGATGTCACCCACTTGCTACAGTTTGTACACCAGATAATGTGTGATAACCAAAGATTTTTGGTGTCTGGCATTATTACTGGACGTTAGAGATTATTCAACTAACCTGGTATTGGTGAAACTCTCTTCGTTCTTGATTCTGGAAAATAGTTATCTTATAAATGTCCGTGTCCAGTTGCAGGTGGTTCTACAAACACCAGAGAACTCAGAAAGATAGTAAATCCATATTTTGTATCGCGTGAGATATGCCTCTTGCAGGTGTGTAGATATTTGTTTTGGTCGCACTGTATGACTAGCTGTCATCTACTTCTACAGGTGGCCCGGCCGCGACTGCGTTGCATAGAAACGACTACTTCCCACAAAGATGCTAGGAAATGTGCAGCAGCTAAGATGTCAAGGCGCGGTACAAAACATGGATTTTCTAACTTTCTGTATTTCTATAACCACCTGCAACTGGACACGGAAACTGTTTTCCAGAATCGAGAACGAAGAGAGTATCGTCAATACCAGGTTAGTTGAATATTTATGGCAACGTTTTTGTATAGGCAAACCTGTAACTTCCAGTAATGGACACCAACATTTTTTGGTTGTATCACATTATCTGGCGTACAAACTGTAGCAAGTCACCCACCATATTCTGAATAAGGTGTGATTTGAGTGTTCTCCCTCCCCAGCGCCCTACTCTTCCCCCCCTCTACCAAGCAGACTTTGCTACCTGATTCACAAAACCACAGAACCACCCTATCCTCGCTACCTTCTGTGTGGGGGAGGGCTGGAGCTGCAGGGTAGTCATCTGTCACCCTTGTAAAATAAGTATTCTGACCTCAATCGGACTTACTGGATAAACAACTGGCAAATTCATATGATATATTATCAGGTCACACTGTAAATTAAAATGATTCTGCACCCTCTCCTGAAGACATGCACTCTGTCTGAGGGTAGCAATAAGGCCTAAGGGAATGCCATTAGATGCGCAGGTATTGTTCTTGTATTTTGATCCCTCTATACTGGAACAGAAAGTATGTGGTCTGTCGTGTTTTACCCTGAAACAAGAATATTATTAGACTGAAATTTAAGAAGTATCTGCTATCTGGGTAAATCATGTTTTCATTGTGAGTAACTAACTTATTACCATATTAATACCATGTTATTACCACTTTCCTTGCTGTAATGTAAAGTCCTTCTGTATTTCCCAGAGTTTATCCAGCCGTTAAAGGAGAGGCCACGGACAGACTCTGCGGTGGTCCGGAGAATGGTGACCAGAGCCTTGGTGCTGCAGAGAGGTAGAGCGCGCTCACAACGTTTCTGACCGCAACAGCAGGTGAGATGTAGGCTCAGAGATACACAAAGTAAGCCACAGTATCGGGACGACTAAACTGCATTACTCTGCAATAGATTTTGTTCACATTGCTGCTCATGATCACGTCATATTGCTGAGTCTCTGTTTAAGAAATCAATACAAGAACATGTCATGGTTTGCTTGTTTAATTCTTTTTATTAGAGAAAACATGATGCAAGCACAAAATGCTTTAAAACATTCAAATGTGTATACAGTATAGAATAATCACCCATCTAGTAAAGAGCACCCTTGTAAAATAAAGGGCCCTGTAGTTGCAGTATCACAAAAATAGGACAAAAGAATGCAAAGATGCATTTTCACGTCATTTGTGACTTGTACAATTGAGAAAACAAACAGATAAGAGTCCCTGACGGTAGTCATTTCATAAAATGGATGTTTGAAAAATGAACTAAGCTGAGCAAAAATATGCTGATAAGACTAAAATGTATGTTTATCTTAGGATCCTAAGATTAAAGTTATTAAATATATTACCAGAGTTGCTATATTAAGTGATTGCAAGATACAGTATGTTAACTTGGGTCAGAATCCCAACACAAATTGCATGAATAACTAACTAACTTTTACCTAAATCATGCTGTTTGGCTGATTTGGACAAGAGTTTATGTACATTTTAAGTTGGGATTCTGCCTTAAATGCTCATTGCCTCTTTAGAGATGTACAAATACAGGTTTGATAATGAAAAACAAAGAGGGGAAAAAAAGTTGCTCCTAAGTGGTAGCTGTATGGTTGTAATAATACTGCCTTATCCTTAGTGATTACTGTACAGCAAGAAATAATACATATGTTCTTCCTATTTATATTCACAATGGCTTCTGCCACATTGTCACGTCATAGACTTTGAAATAATATTCTCAGAGGAAGTAAGACTCTTTCGCTACTTTCCCCACCCCCACTTCATAGGCACTGACGTACCGGGCAGCCCCTGCAAGGCTGTTGGCCCATGCGTCCGTCATCGACGTCCTACTTTTTAAAATTTAAATTAACATAATTTTGACAGTAACCCTCAGTCATTCATAAACCTTTTTTAATTTCCATATGTATTAGGAAGCTAAGTGTTTGTTTCTTGGGCTTCAGGAATGTGACTGAAAAAGTGAAAAATTCAAAATAAACTGAGTATGAGGGGATATCAGTGAACAAATGCCATGGTTAAGGCTACGACGGCCCCAGTGCAATGAGTGGATTTTACTCAGGTGTTCAAAAGCGCATATCAGACCGAGAGCCTAACATACTGACCACACCGCCCGCGTTGCAAAATAAATGTACACATACATGTTATTCAATGATTGCACCCACACTGCTCGCGCGCATCAACAAGCGTCTGCGTAGCCAGGCGCTAAAATAGAACTTGGTTCTATTTGTGATGCTTGATGCGCTGCAAGTCCCGCCTCTCCCCATTGGTTTTTAGGAGCATATACCCACATGGGTGATTGAAAGATGAACTGAGGTCCACACTCCAGTCCAGTTGGTGGTGGTAATGCACCTTAAAGTTGGTTGCCAACCGCCATATAAAGTCTGAAGAAGAAGAAGCCTGAAGGAGGAGAGATTACTAGAAATGAACTCGGTTTACCCTTTTATCTGTGGATTAATTGTCGAAGTAGAGGGCCTTGTGCATTTCAGTTAAAATAACAACCCAATGTTTATATCCCAGGACACATTAGCTAGCAACAGCAAGCTGTCCCCAAATTAATATAGTTGGTTCAGAGTTCATTTTGAGATTTCAACCTGCGTGTCCTGATCGCATCTGGTGTGGGTGGACAAAATCAACATGCACGGTGTGGTCAGCAAGTAATGCTTCTTAGGTAGTTCTATATGAGTTTTAGTTGAGAAAATAATATCCGCAGAAGTGACAGTTACAGGGATGGTAAAAAAAGCTTGATTGTCGTAGCGACATAAGGGAAACTGGGCAGAAGGGAGTTGTTTCAGAACTTAAGTATTTGAAGCATAACTTTAATTGAGCCTCTCTTTCTTCTTAATTGCCGGCCTCAACACATTACGGAAAGAGACTAACTGTATAGGAAGCTCTGAGGTAGTGCTGAGCGATTAGTGTTTTTGAAGTCTGTTCAGTTTCTGTTCAATTATGAAAAAATTATTGCTGCCTATGCTATCTGACAAAATCACTATTTTGTAGTTCTTCAAATTAAATAAGGCATACTTTTATGACTGCTGAATACCAACTATCAATCACTTAGGTCATGTATTTTCAAGTAGAGATACCTCTCGAAGCAACAGCTGCTCTCTATATCCCCTAACGATCGCGCATTCTTCTCTCTTGTGTAGCAGTTGTCAAAGAAACAGAACATATCTGATTTATCTCTAGAGAAACTTTGTGCATTGAGCTCACAGAAAAAAACAGAATAAAATGAAATTCAAATAATTGAACCGACGTCTGTCAATTTGTTGTTTAAAAACCGAAAAATAACAAAATTCTGTTAATCGCTCAGCACTACTCTGGGGACAGGTCGTATGCATACTGGACAGCCAATAAACTGACAGATGCAAACAGTTTATCATCTTTAGCAGACAACAGTTCTTGAGGGCTTGAACAGAAAAAGGGCCGAAGTATGACCTTGCGGGGTGGGGGGAGTCAAGTTAAACTGTGTTATGCCATTGTTCATAGGTGCATAGCTAATTGCCTGCTCAACAATGTCCTTAAAAAATAAAAATCAACAATACAGTACACTGTCTCAAAGTGCAGCAGGTGTTGAAAAATATTTATTTCTTCCTTACGATGGACCAGAAAGGTTGGATACATGTAAATATATAGCTCTTATTTGATAGCACCAGCACTCCACTGTACATGTGACAGAAATGTGTGAGATCAGTAAAGACAGAGTTGCTTCTTCAAGCTGGTTCTTTAAAACAGGGTTTTTTCGTCTGCAACTTCCTTATATAAAACGTTGACACTGAGGTAAGCTATGCTTTTCAATTTTCATCCATCACCAATAGGGAGGGAAAAGCCGGTACAGCTCTCTCTAGTGGTTGGTAATTTCACAACAGTCTTGCTGGACATTCTCATCAGTTTCGCAAAATAAAATGTTCCTCCCGGTCTTTCCATTGAGTCCGTCCACACTACCTGTGTCCCAGCTGGTTATTCATGAGGCCACGGAAAGAGGAATCCTCTGACTCAGAACTCATTGAGCCACCTGAAGAGGAGAGACAAACGGGACACGTGAAGAACTGCACTCATTTAATAGTGGGCACAGTTTGAATAGCAATAGAAATGAGTCTATATAGTTACAATGGTAGAAATACTTCACTCACTGAAGTCTTCACAAGCCTTGAACTGATTGTTTTAATGAGCTTTTACAGGAATGCCAGGCTACAACTGGACTACACAACTACAGATGTCCTCACTGATAAATAACTGGCAGACCACTTCCATCCTATGGATTGTTCCTGTTTTCAAGTTCCTATTGTTAATGCCATTGTAGTACTCAAGTGCCTGATTCACACTATAGGGCCAACCGAAACCATACTATGCTGGCTTGGATATTTTATTTTCACGTAGTCTTTTCTAGCATGGTTCCAACAACTATGGTGGATCTGTAACTAGGCCAACTCAGTACAGCTTGGTTTATCTCCTTTTGGCCCTATAGTGTTTTAAAGGGGATGGGGCATTGTGTTCTACTATGGAGTGGGGGGCGTCGACAGTTATTACTGTATTTTACTTTGTCATTTGTTCTATGCCAAACACTTAACATGTCAGTTTAACACCCTGGATGCATCCATACATAGATGGATAAGTTAATACTCAGAGTTGGTGATGCATCGCAAACAGATGCACCAGTTGTATAATTCCTATCAGTGGAGGCTGCTGAGGGGAGGACGGCTCATAATAATGTCTGGAACGGCGCTAATGGAATGGTATCAACCACATGGAAACCATATGTTTGATGTAGTTGATACTATTCCGCTCCAGGCCATTACCACGAGCCCGTCTTCCCCAGTTAAGGTGCCACCAATCTCCTGTGATTCCTATTAAGTCTAATTTATACCCTGCATACTTGCATAGCAAAAATACGTAAACATGTGCAGTGACTTAAGAAAACGTAAAGATAATTAAATTAACACAGATCTTCTGTCTGGAGATGGGAATAAAAAGGCAGGATATGGACAATTCTGTTAGGAAAGCAAAGCAACTCTGTATCATTCATGTTATAGGTTTCAGATAAATATATGGGTGATTAATGTACTTTGTAAAACGGTCTATGTAAATAAAGTTTGATTTGATTTAAAAAACTGCAGCGACTTAATTTGTAACTTGACACAACTTTTCAGGATCACCATTTTGCACAACTAATTGTGCTCTTACGTTGCGTACGTACCTAGGGTGTAAATTAGGCATTCATGATGTGAAATGTTCAATTAACAACTGTGAAGAACAATAAACTAAAAACGTGTTGAGGGGTTGATATGATGTTTTCATAGTGTTGTGTGGACCAGGTTAGAGTTAGTAGATAAGTGACTTGGTGCCACAGAGTCTACATTCCATTATGTCAAAGGAGATTACTGATGTTGATCTTAGAATGATTGATGGACAGGATATACTGACTTGGGGTAATAACAAAGAGTAATAACATCAAAGAAGGGAGTGCCGACTGATGGTTAACAGATGTGGTTGAAGAAACGTGTAACAGAGGGTATATAAGTGAGATATGGTCTTTGTTCAGTAGTTCGAAATGGCAAGAGGCAGAGCCCTGAACCATGGTACCTATTACATTTGACATTTTAGTCATTTAGCAGACGCTCTTATCCAGAGCGACTTACAGTTAGTGAGTGCATACATTATTTTTATTTTTCATACTGGCCCCCTGTGGGAATCGAACCCACAACCCTGGCGTTGCAAACGCCATGCTCTACCAACTGAGCTACATCCCTATTAAATACTTATATGAACTCCCCATCAAAAGTGTCTAAGTATATTCTTACATCATGAATTACTTGATACCCGAGAACCTCATCATAACAGGGGTGAAATCTATTTTCATAAGCACTGTTATTTTCTCAAAATATGAAATTCCAGGCAGAATAAAATGGTTGATTTTCTTTTTAAATGTTAACTGCCACGCACAAACATCTGAAACGTTTAAGTTGAGCTTTACACTTGATGAGGCAGGTAGCCTAGCGGTTAGAGTGTTGGGCCAGTAATCGAAAGGTTGCTGGTTTGAATAACTGAACCGTCAAGGTGAAAAGTCTGTCCTTGATCAAGACCGGGATGCCATACTATTAAAACGTTTATTTGAATTTTGCGATTGCCTTTTCACGCATTTATTTACTCTATGAATTTAAGTCTCTTCAGAATGTGGTCATCCATAGACAATGGCTTTGAACATGACAAGTGTCCATCACATTCAATAAGGCTGTGGCCAGTAATCTCCACTGTTATCTCCAGTCTCTTACCTATATGACAGTTGTACATCCATATCCTGTGGCCGTCATATCGACACCTGCACTTCATAATGTTGTTGGTGTAGTCGGACTCTGCTACCTCATAGTTTGGGTTGATCACAACCTAGGGAGAGAAACAACGTATTGATGATGTCATCAGAGCACCCACATACTCTTGCTATGACTAAAAGACAGATCTGCTTTGGCAGCAACCATTAGTGAAATTGTAACAATTATAAAATGCTGGGAGAGTGACCAGCTGAATGAGTAACAGTGGATTCCATTGAAATTAATCGACTCCAGTTAACGCCACGGAACAAAAAGTGGAAAGAAGAACTGTCACTACTCCAAGCTTATTACACTGAACAAAAGTATAAACGCAACATGCAACAATTTCAAAGATTTACTGAGTTACAGTTCATATAAGGAAATCAGTCTTTGGAAATAAATTCATTAGGCCCTAATCTATGGGTTTCACATGACTGGGAATACAGATATGTATCTGTTGGTCACAGATACCTTTTAAAAAGAAAGGGTAGGGGCGTGGATCAGAAAACCAGTCAGTATCTAGTATGACCACCATCATGCAGTGCGGCAGATCTCCTTCACATAGAGTTGATCAGACTGTTGATTGTGGCCTGTGGAATGTTGTCCCACTCCTCTTCAATGGCTGTGCGAATTTGCTGGATATTGGCGGGAACTGAAACACGCTGTTGTACGTGTTGATCCAGAGCATCCCAAACATGCTCAATGGGTGACATGTCTGGTGAGTATGCAGGCCATGGAAGAACTGGGACATTTTCAGTTTCCAGGAATTTTGTACAGAACCTTGCGACATGGGGCAGTGCATTATCGTGCTGAAACATGAGGTGATGGGGGAGGATGAATGGCACGACAATGGGCCTCATGATCTCGTCACAGTATCTCTGTGCATTCAAATTGTCATCGATAAAATGCAATTGTGTTCGTTGTCCGTAGCTTATGCCTGCCCATACCATAACCCCACCGCCACCATGGGGCACTCTGTTCACAACGTTGACATCAGAAAACCGCTCAGTTTAAACCGGGATTCATCCATTAAGAGCACACTTCTCCAGCGTGCCAGAGGCCATCGAAGGTGAGCATTTGTCTACTGAAGTCGGTTACGACGCCAAACTGCAGTCAGGTCAAGACCCTGGTGAGGACGATGAGCACGCAGGTGAGCTTCCCTGAGACGGTTTCTGACAGTTTGTGCAGAAATAATTCGGTTGAGCAAACCCACAGCTTCATCAGCTGTCCGGGTGGCTGGGCTCAGACGATCCCGCAGGTGAAGAAGTCGGATGTGGATGTCCTGGGCTGGCGTGGTTACGCGTGGTCTAATGTTGTGAGGCCAGTTGGATGTACTGCCAAATTCTCTAAAATGACGTTGGATGTGGCTTATTGTAGAGAAATAAACATTACATTATCTGGCAACAGCTCTGGTGGACAGTCCTGCAGTCAGAATGCAAATTGCACGCTCCCTCAAAATGGGACATCTGTGGCATTGTGTCGTGTGACAAAACTGCACATTTTAGTGGCCTTTTATTGTCCCCAGCACAAGGTTCACCTGTGTAATGATCATGCTGTTTAATCAGCTTCTTGATATGTCACACCTGTCAGGCCGATGGATTATCTTGGCAAAGGAGAAATGCTCACTAACAGGGATGTAAAAAATGTGTGCACAAAATTTGAGAGAAATCAGACTTTTGTGCTTATGGAACATTTCTGGGATCTTTTATATCTGCTCATGAAACATGGGACCAACACTTTACATTTTTGTTCAGCGTATAAGATTCTCATGTTATACAAGCACCTTGTTCCCATATCATATTTGGATGTAGAGACTCGCATGCCTATATTAACATAATTGTTATTTTAAATTATGGGGTGGGGGGGGGGACGGTTTTGAAATAAGACAACTTTAAATAAGATTCTCACCTGGAAGATGTAGTCTCCTGGCACAACGTCTGTCACGTCTATCCACTGACAGTCGATGTCGTGTCTGTACGTATCCCAGCAGCCAACAGTGATGCCCTGCTGCCCGAAGTTAGCACACTCGTACCTCTTCTCAATACCTGCCAGAGAGACAACAGTACTAAAGCAGAGAATCAGGAACATAGACAAGAGGTTTGTCATGATAATATTCATAATTTGTTTTTCACATTAAAGCTTCTTTACCCTCTTCACATTGGGTGTCCTCCAAACAGAAGCTGGCCTTGTGTCCCTCTGCCACCTTGGTGCCGTTGAGGCTCAGTAGGTCATAGTGGGTGAACACCTCCATGCTGTGGTAGTGCCTGGACAGGGAGACAGAGACAGTCAATCATCATCATCACCACCCTCTTTATCATCACCATAACCAGCTTCTGTACAACCACAGCAGGTACCACAAATCATAGACCACAAATCTATGATCTCACAAGACTGCAACAATGACAACCTCCAGAGGACTTTTTTTGCAGCACGTGATTGTTCTCAACTCATGTAACACTCACAACGATGGTCGTTTGCATGCCATTGTCCAACCCCCCTTTATCATATCTTCCACTACTTAACTCAATGACTAAACTGAAGGACACAGGAATTCATCCTCCCATGTTACTCTACCTGTGGCACTCGTGCCAGACCCAGGAGTGGTGTGCGGCCCTTGGGCGGAAGTCTGTCAGTCCGTTGTTGTGTATCTGGGAAGAGAAGCGCAGCAGGCGGCGGTAGGAGGAGGTTGTGGCGGTGGCGGCGCTGCTGGACAGACAGTGCTCCTCGTTGGCACACTGCAGTATGTACATTGGCCGGTCCTCCAGGTACGTGGTGTGTTCCACCACTTGGGCGTTTAGAACCAAGTCTGGGGCCGCTGTATGCCGAAGAGAGGTTGTTGTTGTTAATACAGAGTTTAGAGCCCACACTTTGAATAGAGACCCAATCAAGGATTCAAACAACAGCAAAATGGCCAACCAACACTTTTTTGGGGTAAAATGGACTTGTCCAAGAACAACATTATTATTAATATTATTATTATTATTATATACAGTACCAGTCAAAAGTTTGGACACACCTACTCATTCAAGGGGTTTTCTTTATTTTTTTTATTTTTTTTACATTGTAGAATAATAGTGAAGACAAACTATGAAATAACACATATGGAATCATGTAGTAACCAAAAAAGTGTTAAACAAATCAAAATATTTGTTATATTTGAGATTCTTCAAATATCCACCCTTTACCTTGATTACAACTTTGCACACTCTTGGCATTCTCTCAACCAGCTTCACCTGGAATCTAAATAAATCACAAACAGTGTCATCAGCAAAGCACCTCCACACCATAACACCTCTTCCTCCATGCTTTACAGTGGGAAATACACAAGCGGAGATCATCCGTTCACCCACACCGCATCTCACAAAGACACGGCGGTTGGAACCAAAAATCTCAATTTAGACTCCAGACCAAAGGACACATTTCCACCGGTCTAATGTCCATTGCTCGTGTTTCTTGGCCCAAGCAGGTCTCTTCTTCTTATTGGTGTCCTTTAGTAGTGGTTTCTTTGCAGAAATTCGACCATGAAGGCCTGATTCACACAGTCCCCTCTGAACAGTTGATGTTGAGATGTGTCTGTGACTTGAACTCTGTGAAGCATTTATTTGGGCTGCAATTTCTGAGGCTGGTAACTCTAATGAACTTATCCTCTGCAGCAGAGGTAACTCTGGGTCTTCCATTCCTGTGGCGGACCTCATGAGAGCCAGTTTCATCATAGCGCATTTTGCAACTGCACTTGAAGAAACTTTCAAAGTTCTTGAAATGTTCTGACCTTCATGTCTTAAAGTAATGATGGACTGTTGTTTCTCTTTGCCATAATATGGACTTGGTATTTTACCAAATAGGGCTGTCTTCTGTATACCCCCCCTACCTTGTCACAACACAACTGATTGGCTCAAACACATTAAGACGGAAAGAAATTCCACAAATTAACTTTTATGGAGGCACACCTGTTAATTGAAATGCATTCCAGGTGACTACCTCATGAAGCTGATTGAGAGAATGCCAAGAGTGTGCAAAGCTGCCATCAAGGTAAAGGGTGGCTATTTGAAGAATCTCAAATATAAAATATATTTTGATTTGTTAAACACTTTTTTGGTTACTACATGATTCCATATGTGTTATTTCATCGTTTTGGTGTCTTCACTATTATTCTACAATGTAAAAATAAAGAAAAACCCTTGAATGAGTAGGTGTGTCCAAACCTTTGACTGGTAGAGTATATATATCTTTTTTTACGTTTTCCAACGGTGTGCCATAATGAATGCGACCCCGCTATTATCAGTGACTTACTCTCAGAGCAGGAGACTCCAGCAGCGAAGCGTCCTCCCCCTCGGGGGCAGTTGAGGTGTTTTCCATGATGGAGGCACTGGGCCAGAGTCATCTCCGTCCCCGAGCACCTGACCCCGCTCATCACCACGTCATCAGCACTCACATCTCCTGACCAGTACCATGTCTCCTGGTAGTGAGAAATAACACCACACAGACAAACTGATCAAACATAGGCCCAGCTTCAATTCTTCAAACTCAAGATGGAAAACTGTAATTTCATCATCCTACCACAAGAGGTTTCCCTATCTACATTTCCATCCCTGCAAGTCATGGGACTGCACAGCTATTGTTGGGATATGGTAACTTCTGCCTAGATGTAGTTGATTGTGATTGTCCAAAACCCCTTCACAAGATAGACCAGCATGTTAAATGTGCAACCAGAGGGGAAAAGAACTCTAGACCACCTTTACTCCACACACAGAGACGCGTACAAAGCTCTCCCTCGCCCTCCATTTGGCAAATCGGACCATAACTCTATCCTCCTGATTCCTGCTTACAAGCAAAAACTAAAGTAGGAAGCACCAGTGACTCGGTCAATAAAGAAGTGGTCAGATGATGCAGATGCTAAGCTACAGGACTGTTTTGCTAGCACAGACTGGAATATGTTCCGGGATTCTTCCGATGGCATTGAGGAGTACACCACATCAGTCTCTGGCTTCATCAATAAGTGCATTGATGATGTCGTCCCCACAGTAACCATACGTACATACCCCAACCAGAAGCCATGGATTAAAGGCAACATCCGCACTGAGCTAAAGGGAAGAGCTCACGCTTTCAAGGAGCGGGACTCTAACCCGGAAGCTTATAAGAAATCCCGCTATGCCCTCCGACGAACCATCAAATGGGCAAAACGTCAATACAGGACTAAGATTGAATCGTACTACACCGGCTCCGACGCTCGTCAGATGTGGCAGAGCTTGCAAACTATTACAGACTACAAAGGGAAGCACAGCCACGAGCTGCCCAGTGACACGAGCCTACCAGACGAGCTAAATTACTTATATGCTCGCTTCGAGGCAAGCAACACTGAAGCATGAGAGAGAGAGAGAGAGAGAGAGAGAGAGAGAGAGAGAGAGAGAGAGAGAGAGAGAGAGAGAGAGAGAGAGAGAGAGAGAGAGAGAGAGAGAGAGAGAGAGAGAGAGAGAGAGAATGTATTACATCTGTCCTCATGGATCTGACTCAGCCTCTTTATGCTATCATCTGTATGTATCTGACAACGCCCAAAGCTAAAGGAATACTCCTGCAAAACTAATTATTTCCAGGATCTCCCACGGAAGGAGTAAGGGTGGGTGGGTTGCGGGGGACGGAGGGGGGTTACGGAAGGAACAGGGTTTTAGACTTTAGTATCATATTTTCTGTCTGTTCCGCTGCCTGCAGAAACACTTAGTGTGTGTCACAAATGGTACCCTATTTTCCTTAGTGCACTGCTTTTGACCAGTGCACTATATAGGGAATCGGGTGCCATTTGGGAAGCAACCTTAGAGCGCAGAGCAGGCTGTCAGGAAAGAGGCATCAGAGCTGTCAGTCAGGAAAGAGGCACCAGAGCAGGCTGTCTGGAAAGAGGCACCAGAGCAGGCTGTCAGGAAAGAGGCACCAGAGCAGGCTGTCTGGAAAGAGGCACCAGAGCAGGCTGTCTGGAAAGAGGCACCAGAGCAGGCTGTCTGGAAAGAGGCACCAGAGCAGGCTGTCTGGAAAGAGGCACCAGAGCAGGCTGTCTGGAAAGAGGCACCAGAGCAGGCTGTCTGGAAAGAGGCACCAGAGCAGGCTGTCTGGAAAGAGGCACCAGAGCAGGCTGTCAGGAGGCTGTGTGTGCTTGATGATGGACTGTTCTACTCTGCTGCTGCTGCTCCACCTTCTGGGATGGGCTCTGCTACTTCGCTCTGCTCTGCTCTGCTATCCACACCAACAGGCTTTTGTAACAGACTAACCTCTCTGTTAACATAACATGTCTGAATCTCTGCAGGAAAGTGTCTGTCTGTGCACATGGGTGTGTGTGTGCTAGGTCCAAGTACATTTAAAGGATCCCCAAACATATAATGACACATGTAAACTGCCATTAAAACGAGCATTAGTACACAATCATCAAAATCACACAATCACGCAATTACTGTGCAGAAGAGCTCTATCAGCCCAGTCCAATTTCCACTCATAAAACTCTCCCTCCCATAAACCCAGTTATTCCATGATTCATAAATACTTTCCAGACTTATATCACCACTGCCAGTGGCATTCAGCAGTTCTTAGTACACTGCAAATTAGAGAAAGTCTCAAACTGTAGACCGAACTGCAAGATTTTTAAAATAAAGAACGCAGATAGTGCTTTCCTTTCGGTGGTGTGTCGAGGGCTTTCCTTAGAGTGGTGTATCACACACCATGGGACTAAAGACAGCTCTTGAATCACCCTTTAAATACAACAAATAATGAAAATGGCAGCACTAATCAGCAGCAGATAAGTGTACGTAGCCTATATACAGTTTGCTGATTGTGGTGGGCCAATTAAACTTCAAAGAGCAGGAATGAACTCCCCACCACCAAATGTACACTGTTCACCTATGCCATATAGTCACAGGCCTGTACATGTGAAGTTTATAGTATCCCGGACTAGCCTGTAGCCACTCCTCACTCCATCACCTCCTTCAGTGTGGAGACTATAAGCTCTAAGGTCGGAGCCCCTTTTACTTTCCTTTAGTGAACATCTCCAGCTGTTTACAGCGAAAGGACGTATATAAGCGCCAAATGGATAAATGGGGTTTGCTGGTGGCTCTAACGTATATAACTGAGGCCCACTTGAAATAGAGGAAGACCAGATTTTACGTACTTTTACAAAGTATTACGAAGACTATTTCCCCAACATCCACACTAGGGGGAAAACCCAAGCTTATCTGTGTGGTCCAATCACAAAATCATACAAAAGGTATAATTAACCCTTTAATATTATGACATGTTGTTGATACTTACACAGAAGCATATAAATAGTAATAGTTTTACTGTACAGTATATCTACATAATGTTTTTGTGTGTGAAATGTACCCTTTGTCAAAGAATGTTAGGCTCTTGATTGTCTGGCTGACCAGCCAATGTGATGAGATTTTGATTTGTATAAACTCACCTGGAAGGCGTTGTTGGCAAAACCGAGACCCAGCTGTCTGCACACGACTGTAGCCTCTATGGTGCCCCAGCTGTCACTGCACACCGTGCCCCACACCAACGAGCCGTTCTTCTCCGCCAGCACCTCCACGCGCCCCTCAAATGGGTTCCGCCCACCGCTCAGACGCAGCTGCAACCAGAGATTAGATGTTTATAAAGGCAGTCCCATTCTGCTCATATTTTGGGGGTTTATTGGACATGGTAGAGATAGAGAGGGAAGACAGGAGGAGAAAGTGCTGAAATAGCAGTGGGTTGAATTCGAACCCATGCTGCAGCAGTACTCCTGAGTGGCGCAGTGGTCTAAGGCACTGCATCGCAGTGCTAACTGTGCCACTAGAGATCCTGGTTCGAATCCAGGCTCTGTCGCAGCCGGCCGCGACCGGGAGACTCATGGGCGGTGCACAATTGGCCCAGCGTCGTCCAGGGTAGGGGAGGGAATGGCGGCAGGGATGTAGCTCAGTTGATAGAGCATGGCGTTTGCAACGCCAGGGTTGTGGGTTCGATTCCCACGGGGGGCCAGTATAAAAAAATATGTATTCACTAACTGTAAGTCGCTCTGGATAAGAGCGTCTGCTAAAATGTAAATGTATGTGTTCTGGGGCAGCGGCTTAGACCGCTAGACAGCTAGGCCACAGATTAACTGTTTATTATGAGCCCAAAAATCCACTTGATTCAAAAGAGGTAGTATATTCCCTCACATCTGTGTTGAGTATTCTGTTCTGCAGAGAAAACTCAAAGATTTGCCATAAATCCTATCTTTGGCTGTGAAAGGCTTTACCTAAAGTATTTTCAGAGGCAATATAACATTAAATATTTATTATATTATGAAAATGTTTGGCAAAAATGTGTGTTTGGTGTCAATAGTGAAATCACAATAACAAAAAAAATGTGCACATCCAATTTGTAAGTCGCTCTGGATAAGAGCGTCTGCTAAATGACGTAAATGTAAACGGATGACATAAAACTAACATTGAGTGGATTTGTTCATTTGCAAATGGCAATGGTTGGCAATACAGTTATATGACTTATATTAGTAATATACAAGTAACATACAAGTACTATAGAAGTACTGCAGCCTCAGTACCCATACTTCCCGCGGCTATGCCGACCAGTGGCTTCAAAGCCTCTCAATGGTCAATACATAGCATCAGCAATCCAGGGTTTATATAAATCATTGTGTAATACCCATACAGTGTATTCGGAAAGATCCTCTCAAGCTCTGTCAGGTTGGATGGGGAGCGTCGCTGCACAGCTATTTTCAGGTCTCTCCAGAGATGTTGGATTGGGTTCTGGCTGGGCCACTCAAGGACATTCAGAGGCTTGTCCCGTAGCCACTCCTGCTTTGTCTTGGCTGTGTGCTTAGGGTTGTTGTCCTGTTGGAAGGTGAACCTTCGCCCCAGTCTGAGGTCCTGAGCGCTCTGGAGCAGGTTTTCATCAAGGATCTCTCTGTACTTTGCTCCGTTCATCGTTGCCTCGATCCTGACTAGTCTCCCAGTCTCTGCCGCTGAAAAACATCCCCACAGCATAATGCTGCCACCACCATGCTTCACCGTAGGGATGGTATTGGCCAGGTGATGAGCGGTGCCTGGTTTCCTCCAGACGTGACACTTGGCATTCAGGCCAAAGAGTTCAATCTTGGTTTCATCAGACCAGAGAATCTTTTTTCTCATGGTCTGAGAGTCCTTTAGGTGCCTTTTGGCAAACTCCAAGCGGGCTGTCATGTGCCTTTTACTGAGGAGTGGCTTCCGTCTGGCCACTCTACCATAAAGGCCTGATTGGTGGAGTGCTGCAGAGATGGTTGTCCTTCTGGAAGGTTCTCCCATCTCCACAGAGGAACTCTGGAGCTCTGTCAGAGTGACCATCGGTTTCTTGGTCACCTCCCTGACCAAGGCCCTTCTCTCCCAATTGCTCAGTTTGGCCGGGCGGCCAGCTCTAGGAAGAGTCTTGGTGGTTCCAAACTTCTTCCATTTAAGAATGATGGGGGCAACTGTGTTCTTGTGGACCTTCAATGCTGCAGAAATGTTTCGGTACCCTTCCCCAGATCTGTGCCTCGACACAATCCTGTCTCGAAGCTCTACGGGCTTGGTTTTTGCTCTGACATGCACTGTCAACTGTGGGACTTTAAATAGACAGGTGTGTGCCTTTCCAAATCATGTCCAATCAATTGAATTTAACACAGGTGGACTCCAATCAAGTTGTAGAAACATCTCAAGGATGATCAATGGAAATAGGATGCACCTGAGCTCAATTTCGAGTCTCATAGCAAAGGGTCAAATTATTATGTAATAAAGGTATTTCTATTTTTTATTTTAATACATTTGCAAACTTTTCAAAAACCTGTTTTCGCTTTGTCATTATGGGGTATTGTGTGTAGATTTATGAGGGAAAAATTTACTTTTATCCATTTTCGAATAAGGCTGTAACGTAACAAAATGTGGAAAAAGTCAAGGGGTCTGAATGGGTCTGAATACTTTCCGAATGCACTGTAAGCAACAACATGTGGTGGGCATGTACTAGGCCTACTCACTCTGTTCTGGAAGCCCATGGCAGGAACATTACATCTAACTGCAGCATCCTCCTCGTGACTGCAGCCCAGGGCATCTCTGTTGAAGTAGCACTCTGTCAGGGATTTCTCAAAGCCAGAGCACTTCACCTCGTTCATATGGACCAGGCCCATTCCTACAGGGGAGAGAAGACACACTGGGAGTCAGATTCATCCCACTCTCTCAATCCCAGAATGAAATATGTATCTCTATGCTTGAAAGATTATTATAATCTGTGTAGGTAGCTGGACAGGTAGGATGACTGACTATAGTGAAGGTGAACAGGTGGTCACGGGTCAGGTGACTGAGAGGAATGGAGGAGAATGAGGCAGGAATTCCTTTAAACACAAAGTGGTATATTTACTGGGTAGTTTGTCTGTGCTACATAACAAAGGAAAGAGAATAACATGTATCCAATCAATTCATAATCACAAAAGTAAAATCATAACAATCATTCTCATTATTAACATAATGAGGTAATTCAATAATTCAGTTCAATAGGAATTCAATATGAAGCATGATTGAGTCACTTAGGATCATAACCATTTATCATAATCATGAGAATGATAATCCAAATAAATCGATCAGTTATCAATTATTCAGTCTATAATCTCAATCAGTTTGATATCAGGATTTATCAATGTAGCAAATATTAATTAGGTCAGCCGGGTGGATTGGTTCATCCCAGTTCCTCTTGGTCTGCCACAGGTCCTGGACTAAGACTTTGGCCCGGGTTGTGTATGGCAGGATATACCCGAGGGGATCGTATTGATTGGCCAGGGTCCGATAGATGATGCGCAGAGTGGGGGTTTCGGTGCTCAGGGCTGAGTGGTGCTTGTACCCCAGGGTATCCAGTATGCAACTCCATCTCAGTCCTAGAGTGGGCTCTTGTGGGTTAGCGCCAGACTGCGACAGCCATAATTCACAGCTACTGGACCTGGCTTGTGGCGGGAGGTGCTGGATAACATGGTGACATAGCCTGCCTTCACAAGGTTATGAATCTCTCAGTTCTGAACTTCAGCATGCTCAGGATTCTTCACCAGTTGCCGCTCCGTTCAGCGGAGTATTGGGAGTACAGCTCGTGTTGTGGTTGCCAGAGGAGGATGGTTGGGCACCCGTAGCAGTGGGGTCGCGTACCTCTGAACGCCATCCATTTCAGTGGTGGTGGTGTGCTTCTCCAGGAGGTCTAATGCATAGGAGTCATGTTTCGAACGGGTGACCTCCTGTAGCTTCCGGTTGGAGAAGGTGTCCATCTTCCAGAGCATCTCCACATTCCGAAGGAGGTCAGTAGCTGGACAGGGAGATGAAGCTGGACTGCTTCTGGTAAAGAGGACTTGCTGTGACTATACAGCTTGGGTAGAGATAAGTAGATGGGCTGGACCCTGCACAGCCCAACCCAAGGATGTATGGACAGCAATGGGCCCTCCTTCTGGTCCAGCTCGTATAGGCTCGGTTGGGGTAACGAGGTGTGGGTGGTCTGCCCGATCAGGATGAGTGGTGCAACCCTGGCCATGTTAGGAAGAGGCAGTCCTCTGAGGTGAGGATATTGCTTCTGTAGAACACTCACCGGGCAGGAGTGCTCTGCGAGATTCAGGCCATCTGCCGTGAAGGCATTAGTGATGTTGTAGCCACGTCCCTCTGTCCTGAAGGTGAAACGCAGAAGGTGACGGAAGAGCCTTTCTCTTGGATAATATCATGTCGCACCGTTCTGAGGTTAAGGATCTCGGGAGTCCCCTCCAGGTTAAGCTGCCAGGCGGCAGCTGGGAGAATGATTGTTCTTTCAAACCAATCATCTAGCACGGAGAATGTATCCATGCTCCTCCCTTCGCTTTGCAGAGTGACCTTTACCACCTTCAACATGACCCTTGGAGACCGGTTCTGCTGCTCGAGGTTGAGCTCCTTTGCGGCTCCTACCATGAGCATACTCTGCTCCTTCACTGCTTAGTGAATTACATCATGCAACACTGTGAGATGGATTTCCTTACAGCGATTGCAGGGTTTCCTCAATGTGCAGGTCTGGGCTTTATGGCTACGGGCACACTTGTAGCATCGCTCGCCTGAAGTTATCCAGGGCTTCAATTGGGGTCGAGTGAGCTTTTGTACCCTGGCGCATGAGCCCAGGAAAGTGCCCCTTACTATTGCAATAGGGACAGTAAGGCTGGAATTTGATGTTCTTGAGAGAGGTCTTCTTTCCGGTTCCTCCCTTCCAGGTTCCTCCCCGGCTTCACTATTTAAGTACATGGTAGTGGGATTCTGCCTTTTATGACCTTCCTAGCGTTCAAACTCCTTCCTTACCCCAGAGGCTGGGGCTGAGATTGTGGCCTGGTGAGCGATGCTCTTCACCCTCGCCTTCACCTGCAACCATACTGCCAGGTCTTTGAGGGCGTAGGTGCCTCTCGAGCCCTCTTTCAGGATGCCTTTGTTCAAACAATGTTTGATGAAACTGTCTCTGAGTTGGGCTGGATGCTTGCCAAGGAGCCTGTCTACGTGGGAGCCACATTTCAGCTCGTTCCCGTCCTCTCCTTCAACGGATTGGAGCGTCGAGGTCAGGGATTGGACAGCAAGGGAGAACTCCTGGAAGGCAGCATGGTCTACTGTTTTGATTGGAGACGTACTCAGGATGTTGTTTAGTTCATTCTAGACTAGCTGGCGTGGCTCACCATATCTCGCTTTCAGGGCCTGGAGAGTGGCAGTGTATGGTGTTGCGGAGTGCATAAAGGATTTGGCCAGCTTGTATGCACTGGGAAACCGCAAGTGATCCATCAGCACTTGGCATTTGAGGCATTCTGACAGATGACTGTGAAAACCCAGTAGACTCTCCAATGCCATTTTCAAGAGGACAAAATCACTCTCCTTTCTGCTCTCAAAGTATGGCAGTCTGGGTCTGGGAATTCCATAGGCTGAGGCTACAAGCAGTTTCATGATATTGGCTCCCTCTTCTGGTTGCGTGAAGGATAACCCGGGACTGCTGAGGAGCTCACTGTGGCCTCGTTGGTCTTTTCCCCTACCAGCCCAGACCCTCCATTGGTGGCAGCCTGAATCGAGTGAGAGCTCTCCCCCCTGATGGTTGATGACTGGCCTGGTACAGGCCCTGGACGAGAGGAATGATTTGCCGTTGTTGGTAATTGGCGGAAAGGTGAAGGAGAGGTGCTTTGGCTAGATGGAGGAGGAATGCTAACTTGTGTCACTGGCATAGAGCGGCCTGTCCCCCGTGGTCCATGCTGGCTGTTGACCGTGGAGCCTCCGGGGACTGTGTCCCATACTGTACCAGAGGAGCAGATTGGGAAAGAAAGGCAGACAGGTCAGGTCCATGTGGAGTGGTGGTCAGGTCAACTCCCTGTTCGTTCCTCTCCAGGAAGGATGAGACCATCCGTGCCTCCTCCAATTCCCATCTTGCTTGACGGCGGCGCCGCTGCTGTGCCAGGTCTTTGGCAATGAATTTCCATTCCTGTAGAGCTCTACGGGCCTGCACATCCAATAGGTGACATCGTTCATCAGCCTGTCGTTCCTCCTCAATCTGACGCTCAATTTCCTCCAACGCTAGTAGTTTCATCCTCTCTCGTAGGACAGCGGTCTGTGAATCGCTGAGGGCTAGTGAATGGCGGCTGCCATGGCCACCTCCAAAGGGGTATCCACCGGTCAAACTCTCACTCCGTCTAGAGTGCCTGAACGATTTCCCATTACATAAGGGGTGAGCGGAGCCCGCCTTGGGGAGCTGGTCGACCTGTGCTGTGGGAGATACCTCTTCCATGGGTTCTTCCTGTAGACCACTCTCCCGTTCCAAAGCAGTTTCCGGTCCTTGGCTTGGACGGGATGGTTGATGGCTGAAATGTACAGTTGATCCATTGCTACTTTAAGCCCTAGTGGGCTTGCCCTTTGGTGGGGGAAACTCCACCACATCATCCTTAAGATAAACAGGTGGTTGTCTGGTTCTCTTGGTGCTGCTGGTGGTTGAAGATGAAGCCTTCTTTCGTGTTTTAAGCTTAGTTCCTGGATCTTTTATTTGTTCCAGGACATTACCCTCATCTTTAGCCTCAGCTGGTATTTCTTCCTCTCTCCTTCCTTCCAGTGGAGACAATTCTTCCTTCTCCTCCTCCATTTCCTTTTCTTTGGTTCAGTCATCATCCGGCTCGAAGGACCATTGAAATATTATTATAATCTGTGTGGGTAGCTGGACAGGTAGGATGACTGACAATAGTGAAGGTGAACAGGTGGTCACGGGTCAGGTGACTGAGAGGAATGGAGGAGAATGAGGCGGAAATTCCTTTAACCACAAAGTGGTATATTTACTGGGTAGTTTGTCTGTGCTACATAACAAAGGAAACATAATAACATGTATCCAATCAATTCATAATCACAAAAGTCAAATCATAACAATCATTCTCATTATTAACATAACGAGTGTCACGCCCTGGCTCTGGGGACTATGTTATGTTGAGCCAGGGTGTGTAAGTCTATGTTTAATTTTCTATGTTGGGCTGAGTGACTCCCAATCAGAGGCAACGAGTGTCAGCTGGGTGTCTCTGATTGGGAGCCATATTTAACTGTTTGTCTTGCACTTTGTGTTTTGTGGTTTCTTGTTCCTTTTGGTTTGGTATCGAAGGACTTCACGTTTCGTTCTTTGTTTTGATCGTGTGATATAGTAATAAATATAAATATGTTCACCCGCAACGCTGCGCCTTGGTCTCCCTCATTAGACGATCGTGACAGAAGAAACCACCTTAACCAGACCAAGCAGCGTGTTCAGGAGCCATCGCTGGCAGATCTCCGTGGCAACCTCGACTGGATCAAGCAGCGGGACGAGGAGAGAGGATGGACGTGGGAGGAGATGATTGCGAGTCTGGCAAGAGGGAGGAGAGACCCCCAGGAAATTTTTAGGGGGGGGCTCACGACGTCGGGCCAGCAGGTGTACGGGTTAGAGCGGTGCAAAGCGTTGGCAGAGAAGGCCGCCAGGTTAGGGGGGCCACTGGGCACAGAGGAGAGGGAAAGTGTGGAGGCACGGCGAGAGGTACTGGGGTGTGTTACCAGTCCGGTCCGGCCCGTTCCTGATCCCTGCGTGGGGCCAGTGGTGTGTGTCCCCAGTACGGTCCGGCCTGTTCCTGCCATTCCCACCAAGTCAGTGGTGCGCGTCGTCAGCCCAGCCCGGCCTGTTCCTGCCATTCCCACCAAGTCAGTGGTGCGCGTCGTCAGCCCGGCCCGGCCTGTTCCTGCCATTCCCACCAAGTCAGTGGTGCGCGTCGACAGCCCAGCCCGGCCTTTTCCTGCCATTCCCACCAAGTCAGTGGTGCGTGTCGACAGCCCAGCCCGGCCTGTTCCTGCTCCACGCACAAAGCCTACGGTGTGCGTCGACAGCCCAGCCCGGCCCGTTCCTGCTCTCCGCACCAAGTCTGTGGTGCGCGTCGCCAGCCCAGTCCGGCCCATCCAAGCTTCCCGCACCAAGCCAGTGGTGTGCGTCGTCAGTCCGGCACGGCCCGTTCCTGCTCTCCGCACCAAGTCTGTGGTGCGCGTCGCCAGCCCAGTCCGGCCCATCCAAGCTTCCCGCACCAAGCCAGTGGTGTGCGTCGTCAGCCCTGTCCGGCCCGTTCCTGCTCTCCGCACCAAGTCTGTGGTGCGCGTCGCCAGCCCGGTCCGGCCCGTCCAAGCTCCCCGCACCGGGTCAATGGTGTGCGATGTCAGCCCGGCCCGGCTCATTCCTGCTCCCCGCACCAAGTCAGGGGTGCGCTTCGTCAGCCCGGTCCGGCCCGTTCCTCCTCCACGCATCAAGCCAGGGGTGTGCGTCGTCAGTCCAGCACAACCCGTGCCTGGGTCATGTCCGGAGCCGGATCCGCCGCCGAGGCGGAGTGCCCACCCGGTCCCTCCCCTGTTGTGGTTGTTTGGCGCGGCCGGAGTCCGCGCCTTTGGGGGGGGGTACTGTCACGCCCTGGCTCTGGGGACTATGTTATGTTGAGCCAGGGTGTGTAAGTCTATGTTTAATTTTCTATGTTGGGCTGAGTGACTCCCAATCAGAGGCAACGAGTGTCAGCTGGGTGTCTCTGATTGGGAGCCATATTTAACTGTTTGTCTTGCACTTTGTGTTTTGTGGTTTCTTGTTCCTTTTGGTTTGGTATCGAAGGACTTCACGTTTCGTTCTTTGTTTTGATCGTGTGATATAGTAATAAATATAAATATGTTCACCCGCAACGCTGCGCCTTGGTCTCCCTCATTAGACGATCGTGACAACGAGGTAATTCAGTAATTTAATATGAAGCATGATCATTACATTTTAGTCATTTAGCAGACGCTCTTATCCAGAGCGACTTACAGTTAGTGAGTGCATACATTTTTCATACTGGCCCCCCGTGGGAATCGAACCCACAACCCTGGCGTTGTAAGCGCCATGCTCTACCAGCTGAGCTACACTTGATAATGATAATGCAAATAAATCTATCAGTTATCAATTATTCAATCTATAATCTCAATCAATTTTATATCATGATTTATCAATGTAGCAAATAATAATTAAGTTTCATATTTCATCCTTCCAGGTTTGTCTTCATATGTACATGTCATTTCATTACATTATAACCAGATTTCAATGGAATAATTGGCCTGTGATTATCTGCAGGGCAGTGATCATTGTCCATTGACATAACACAATAGGGTTGAAGTGTGCGCTCCAAGCCGCGCTCCGCTGTAATAAATATAAACAATAACTTATGGCCCGCCCTCCAGATCACAACAGATAGATCAGATGAAAGATAACAGATTTGGTGGATTTACGTTGATTCGTGGACGCACAGAGTTGGGGAAGAGAAAGCAGCGAGGTCGGGCAGTGGCGATTTCCTCCTTTTAATGAGTTGAGCTCTGTCTGACATTTCCACCTGATCTAATTAAAGCGCTCTGGCCCAGCTGCGCAAGTGGCCATGAATTAAAGGACGATTCCACCAACTCCATAAGCCTTTTCTACAATGCTTTCAATAATCCAGGACACTGGACTGGTTTCCCAGATAATGATTTAACGTAGTTCAGGACTAAAAAGCATTCTCAATGGAGAGCCCTCCAATGAAAGAGCTTTTTAGTTCAGGACTAGGCTTAATCTGTGTCTGGGAAACCGGCCCACTATGTTTAATTGCATAGCAATGATGCCTAACAGGAGTAGAAATCACACTGAGAGTGGATATGAACTCTCCTGCCAATTTTAAGCCAACTCTGACCCATTCAAGAGGGGCACTTGGGAACATTGAACTGTTCTCGCTCTCCTCTCTCTTTTTAAAACTTTGTCAAGTCAAAATAATTCATGTGAACAAAAATGGATTTTCCACAATAATATGTGATCACTCCCTTCCTGCTGTGTCCTGTCTCCAGCATGTGACTGGACAGGAACATTTCTCTGGCAGTGTTTGCTCTGTAACTAGAGCCAAGGTGGTACAAGACACAGACTGACAGCAGATCAAGAAAAACAGAAAAGTATCCTCTGTTACTGTGTGATTATACAGTATCTGAATAGTGGATGGCAGAGGTGGTTGGTCTGAGACTTGGATCACTATGGATAAATGCTTCCATATTCCATTACAGAAGATTCATGTACTTGAATGGGAGAGAGAGACAGAGAGAGAGAGTAGAGACCTACCTTGTCCCAGCTTGCCTCCAGCGAGGGCCTCCTTGGCACTACCGAAGCCCAGTTCTCGACACACCACGGTGGCTGCCTTCAGGTTCCAGCTGTCATCGCAGACGGTGCCCCATTCACCATTTTTCAGCACTTCCACTCGCCCCTCCCCTATGTTGGCCCCGCCTCTCAAACGCACCAGGGGTTGCTGCGGAAACAATTAATGGTGTTAGGCCTACTGTTAATGAGAAACAATAGTTTACAATCACTTGGCATAGTTTTTAAAATATCCAATTACTTCGAGACGTGTGTATGTTTTTTTACTGAAACAGTCCATTAACTCATATATGGATTTTGTTAGTAGAACCACACAAAGATAAACAGTATCATATTGTTCCATACATCGGAGCTTATTGTGAATCACAGACAGAGAAAGGGAGAGAGAGTTTGAGATCCCAGTGTATCTATTTTTTCTTTTGTCCAGAGCCCATGACTCATCTGTGAAGTGTTCGAACACAGTGTTCTGCAGCTGGAGTCTCTAAGTTGAATCACATGCAACGTGATACAAAACAGCACAAGGCAGAATGCAGAAATCAAAGAGTGGATTTTATAGGAAAGATCACTAAATCAAACTGTAATTGTAACTGCTTCGTTTCATTAATTAACATTAACAACTAAGGTTTGTCTTTCATAATTTTCTCCTCTTCTGAATGCTTTCAATTTCAATACAAGATAAAAGGCCAGAGACGTCTCCATCATAAGCAGTCTCTTGCATAGAGGTCCTATGAATCACAATTATATGCTCTCTCTCGTTCCAGATGATCCAACCTACCTCCACCCTGTAGGCCTCGCTGAAGCCCTGGGCGTGGCTGGGCGCAAAGGCCCGTCCTGGGACACAGCTGACCACCACGGGCAAGCCCTTCTCACAGGTGGCATTATTCCTCAGCTCCACCTTGTGGCCCAGCTTACAGCCGTGCAGGCTAGCCTCGTTCCCCGTGCAGTTCACCCCGAAGCCCCAGTAGTTCTTCTTCCTGCGCTTAGCCAGCAGCCTGAGACAGGAGAACAAAGAGATTGAGTTGAGTCGATTTGAATAGAATTTAGTTGAAATGCACTGAATTGAAATGGTACATTTTCATCTTTTAGCCTGCTGTGAAAACATGATATTGTCTACAGTACCTGATGAGGAAACATTATACAAAATGTTTTGTTTTTTAATACATAAAACACTACCCTACCCCTCATGAATTAAGACATTTCCCCAGTTCAACTTGGGAATTGTAAACTTTTTTTATTGACTGTTTTAGTACAAAGTACAATGGCAGTATTGTAGTCAAAACGATATGCAATTCCCAACAGTGGAGGCTGATGACGGGAAGACGGCTCATAATAATGGCTGAAATGGAGCAAATGGAATGGCATCAAACACATGGAAACCATATGTTTGATGTATTTGATACCATTCCACTGATTCCATTACCACGAGCCCGTCCTCCCCAATTAAGGTCCCACCCCCTGTGATTCCCATTACCAGTCCTTTTAAGAGTCAAATGGAAGTAATCTGTCAAGGAGGTCAGAGGGGCTCAGCTCAACTATAGTGGGCTAGGAAGAGAGGCCAGGGCTTAATCCCAAATGGTACCCTATACCCTATAGTGCACTACTTTTGACCAAGGTCTATAGGGCTCTGGTCAAAAGTAGTACACTATGTAGGGAATAGGGTGCCATTTGGGACGTAACCCAGGGCTTTTCTTCCTTCCAGTCAACTAGAGTATTTAATGAAAACAGCATGTCCTACATTTAAAGACTTAGGTCCAAGCTATCAAATCCTGCACAGACGCAGTCAGACCAACAGAAGTGAACACAAGATATAACATTTTAGGTTATAATCATCTTGTCTTAAGGGTTGATGGAGTGCTAATATTAAACTTTACAAGCTGACCCTCCTGACTCTGCTCTCATAGCCTGTAAAAGATGAAGGGGCTAGTCCACAGTAATGGACCAGTAATAGTAAGGTTTTCCCAGTAGAGATGTTTTCTCATTCATGGTCCAAGTCATTCATGGTCCAAGTCATTCATGGTCCAAGTGTGAAACAAAATACTTTTGTGGGAATATTAGTGGACACACACAAAGTGTGATTGTTGCCCAACCACTTTCTCTTCTGCTCCAGTTAACACCACTTCTCTCACAAGTGCCACATGAGTTTTAGTGACCACTGAGAGTCAGAGCTTTAGTTTAATGTCTCATGTGAGGGACAGGACCCTTTGTAGGGCCACCAAATGGGATGAGTGCCCCTACTGGCCCCCCACACTACTTCCAACAGCATCTGGTGGTGCAAGGACCGACCCCCTCCCCTAGAAGAGAGCCAATAGAGGGATACAGGCCAGAATGATATGGCTGCCTGCTGGAATAAACAATCTGGCACATTTAAAGGAGAGATTCCCATTTTTTTGTCTTTTTTTATTTTATTTTACTAAATCTGTATTTTGGATGTAAATGGCATGATATAGAAGTGTGCAGGTCTTTAGATGTTGTACACATGAAATTGTGTAATTCCAAACTTTATCGCAACGTTATATTACATTTTGTTGGGCTTGAGCAAAACTTTTCGTGTGCGCATGCACGGGCTATCACTCGAGTCCAACTAAATGGAATATGATGAGAGAGAGACACACACATTTGGGAGCACTTCATGAAGTCTACATGTATCTTTCCCTCTTTTCTCTTATGCTGCTCACTTGTAGACTTTAGTGTTGTATCCTTTCTCTCCAGGGAAACCGTACATCCCACAGATGACCCGGCTGTTCATCTCAGTCCACTCCAAGTCACAGATCTGTCTCCACTTCCCCCCGTCCTTCACCTCCAGGTAGCCCTCCGTCAGAGGGACCCTTTTACGCTGGGACGAGATGGCCCGGATACGCACCTCTTCCACCTGGACATTCAGACTCTGCAGAAAGAGAGATACAGAGACCCTGGATCAGCCACAGTCATTCAATCAGGTATTATTTAACTTGAAGATTATCAATGAAAGATTCAAGACAGTGCAGCCATGGTATGGAGCCCTATTGAGACCTTATTTTTCATTTTTTAGGGCATATTTGCCTTTAAACTGCACTGCCTTAGTTAACCATATGAATGTCTGGAATTTGTTGTGATCTGTCACCAATTTGACCAGAGAGGTAAGTTCAGGGTAAGGTGTATCAAGGGCCAGGTTGGGATACACAGTGGCAGCACAGATGGGCTTCTCAACAGGGAGATAACCTTTGAACCACACGCATCATCAATCTGTTTTACTTGGTGACTTTTCACTTCCTGTAGGCCTATGTTACGCAACTTTTGAGAAAGTAAATGAGACGTTGAAAATAAAAGTGATTGGGACTAGGGGATTTCAATTTGCATAATCAATCATTAAATTATGTTTTCCCATTGATCTTCTCTCAATTAAAATCAATCAGTAAAATACAAAGTGGGGCTGCAAAAACACATGTATCAAATCACGGTTTTACGGTATCTTGATCCAACACAACAAAAATGAGAATTGTGTGTCCTTTTCACCAAGCTACAATAACAGTCAAGACAAAAGCTGTTGCCTGAGGGTTGAAGTAGGCTGAGGGTGTTCCCCTAACCCTTGACTCTAACCCTAAAGTATGGGGCTAACCCTAAACCCAACCAGTCAGTAGGGGGGTCATGGTCCTCAATTACCCTCCTCTGTCTGTCCTAAGAACCCTTAAAGGAGAGCGGCGTCTTCACCCTTGAGGGAAAGGGAAAGGGGGATACCTAGTCAGTTGTACAACTGAATGCATTCAACTGAAATGTGTCTTCCACATTTAACCCCGCTGAATCTTTGACCTCCAGGTTGCGTGTGAAGACTGCTCCCTGCTCCCTTACTCATCCATCTGACCTCTGACTCTGTTCAGCCCCATAAGCACATAGAACCATAGACCAGCAGTCTAACTCCTGGCTGGTCTGGCTGTAATGTGTATTGTGGGGACACGGAGTGCTCAGTGCCAACCCTCTAAAAACGGCTTTGCTAAACCATGAATGCTGAGCTCAGCCTTTTCTTCAACAGCCAGTCATCTCGCCTGCTAAGAAAGACAGTCCAACATTTCTGTGTGAATCCAGAAACATTAGCGTTTAGTAAAAATGGGGGTGGTTTCCTGAAATGGCGTCAGCCTCTTGGAACGTTCGGATTCCCTCGACGCCAAAAATGTAGCGGTGAAGGGAAAGACGTGACTGAGTCAGACTGTTGCAGTGACCCCAGTGACCCCAGTTACCCGACTATTGACCACAGTGGCAAGAGAGAAGACAGTCTTTCATCAATTTAAATCCTGACGGTCACGGTATAACTGTGAGTTTCCATCAGCAAAGCAGAGCAAGGCAGGATGAACGTGGTCATGTGGTCATGGGAAGAGGGCCTTGAAAGGATTCTGAGGTTCTAGACACAAAATGGGCGAGGTTTCTCTCTAATGTAAATACATGACGGGAGGAGGGGATGCCGGTTTGAAGTAGGGGCTCTTAAAACCATCTCAGTGTTTGGTTTGGCAGAATGGCCAAAAGGAAAGCAAAGGGCTGAGAATGTGAGGTGGAAGGGGGGCACATGAGACCTGCAGCTGGGATGCATATACACTAATTTCCCCGAAACGAGACCACCAGACATAACACCGGCATCAGCCAGTTTGCTCAAGGCCCACCTAAAACTACACCTTGTTTAGGAATGTAGAAACACTCTTTTGGGAAGTTTCAGACACAAATGTCTCAGAACTAGTGACCTTCATTAATGATTCATTGTTATCACCCTAGCCAAGGTTGAGGGTTCACCGATCACCACAGAGGAGCTCACTCACACACTACGATCAGAGCTGACTGCAGACAATGATCAGCTAGAGGGAAATCAGATTTTCAACAAAATTATATTTTTGTAAAGATTAATGAAAAATAAAACACAAATTGACCTTGATTAAATAAGTATTCACCCCCCTGAATCAATACATGTTAGAAACACCTTTGGCAGCGATTACAGCTGTGAGTCTTCTTGGGTAAGTCTCATAAGAGCTTTGCACACCTGTATTGTGCAATATTTGCCCATTATTCTTTTCAAAATTATTCAAGCTCTGTCAAGGTGTTGGGGATCATGGCTAGACAGCAATTTTCAAGTCTTGCCATAGAGTTTCAAGCAGATTTAAGTCAAAACTGTAACTTGGCCACTCAGGAACATTCACTGTCTTCTTGGTAAGCAACTCCAGTGTAGATTTGGCTTTGTGTTGTAGGTTATTGTCCTGCTGAAAGGTGAATTCCTCTCTCAGTGTCTGGTGTAAAGCAGACTGAAGCAGGTTTTCCTCTAGGATTTAGCCTGTGCTTAGTTCCATCCCGTTTCTTTTAATCTTGAAAAACTCCCCAGTCTTTGCCGATGTCAAGCATACCCATGCCATGATGCAGCCACCACCATGCTTGAAAATAAGGAGGCAGTTACTCAGTGATGTGTTGTGCTGGATTTGCCCCAAACATAAGGCTTTGCATTTAGGCCAAAAAGTGTATTCCTTTGCCATGTTTTTTTGCAGTATTACTTTAGTGCCTTGTTGTATACATATGTTTTTATTCTGTATTTTTGTATTCTTCTTTTCACTCTGTCATTTAGGTCATTTTTGTGGAGTCACTACAATGTTGTTGATCATCCTCAGTTTTCTCCCATCACAGTCATTGAACTCTCTAGCTGTTTTAAAATCCCCAATGGCCTCATGGTGACATCCCTGAGCTGTTTCCTTCCTGTCCTGCAACTCAGTTCATAAAGACGACTGCATCTTTGATGTGTCTGGGTGGTTTAATACATCATCCACAGTATAATTATTAACTTGACCATGCTTAATGCTTAATATTCAATGTCTGATTTGTTATTGTTACCCATCTACCAATCACTACACTTCTTTATAAGGCTTTGTAGTTGAATTTGTTTTTAAAATTCAATACTTGACTGAGGGACCTTACAGATGTTGTATGTATGGGGGACAGAGGAAGGGGTAGTTATTCAAAAATCATGTCAACCCCTATTATTTCACACAGCGTGAGTCCATATACAGTGAGGGAAAAAAGTTTTTGATCCCCTACTGATTTTGTACATTTGCCCACTGACAAAGAAATGATCAGTCTATAATTTTAATGGTAGGTTTATTTTAACAGTGAGAGACAAAATAAAAACAAAAAAATCCAGAAAAACTCATGTCAAAAATGTTATAAATTGATTTGCATTTTAATGAGGGACATAAGTATTTGACCCCCTCTCAATCAGAAAGATTTCTGGCTCCCAGGTGTCTTTTATACAGGTAATGAGCTGAGATTAGGAGCACACTCTTAAAGGGAGTGCTCCTAATCTCAGCTTGTTACCTGTATAAAAGACACCTGTCCACAGAAGCAATCAATCAATCAGATTCCAAACTCTCCACCATGGCCAAGACCAAAGAGCTCTCCAAGGATGTCAGGGACAAGATTGTAGACCTACACAAGGCTGGAATGGGCTACAAGACTATCGCCAAGCAGCTTGGTGAGAAGGTGACAACAGTTGGTGCGATTATTCGCAAATGGAAGAAACACAAAATAATTGTCAATATCCCTCGGCCTGGGGCTCCATGCAAGATCTCACCTTGTGGAGTTGCAATGATCATGAGAACGGTGAGGAATCAGCCCAGAACTACACGGGAGGATCTTGTCAATGATCTCAAGGCAGCTGGGACCATAGTCACCACGAAAACAATTGGTAACACACTACACCGTGAAGGACTGAAATCCTGCAGCGCCCGCAAGGTCCCCCTGCTCAAGAAAGCACATATACAGGCCCGTCTGAAGTTTGCCAATGAACATCTGAATGATTCAGAGGAGAACTGGGTGAAAGTGTTGTGGTCAGATGAGACCAAAATCAAGTTCTATGGCATCAACTCAACTCGCCGTGTTTGGAGGAGGAGGAATGCTGCCTATGACCCCAAGAACACCGTCCCCACCTTCAAACATGGAGGTGGAAACATTATGCTTTGGGGGTGTTTTTCTGCTAAGGGGACAGGACAACTTCACCGCATCAAAGGGACGATGGACGGGGCCATGTACCGTCAAATCTTGGGTGACAACCTCCTTCCCTCAGCCAGGGCATTGAAAATGGGTCGTGGATGGGTATTCCAGCATGACAATGACCCAAAACACACGGCCAAGGCAACAAAGGAGTGGCTCAAGAAGAAGCACATTAAGGTCCTGGAGTGGCCTAGCCAGTCTCCAGACCTTAATCCCATAGAAAATCTGTGGAGGGAGCTGAAGGTTTGAGTTGCCAAACGTCAGCCTCGAAACCTTAATGACTTGGAGAAGATCTGCAAAGAGGAGTGGAACAAAATCCCTCCTGAGATGTGTGCAAACCTGGTGGCCAACTACAAGAAACGTCTGACCTCTGTGATTGCCAACAAGGGTTTTACCACCAAGTACTAAGTCATGTTTTGCAGAGGGGTCAAATACTTATTTCCCTCATTAAAATACAAATGAATTTATAACATTTTTGACATGCGTTTTTCTGGATTTTTTTGTTGTTATTCTGTCTCTCACTGTTCAAATAAACCTACCATTAAAATTATCGACTGATCATGTCTTTGTCAGTGGGCAAACGTACAAAATCAGCAGGGGATCAAATGCTTTTTTCCCTCACTGTAACTTATTATGTGATTTGTTAAGCCAAAATGTACTTCTGAACTAATTTAGCCTTGCCTACACAAAGGGGTGAATACTTATGCAACCACTATATTTTAGTTATAAAAAATATATTAATTTGTAAAAATTTGTAGAATTTTCACTTTGACATTAGGGAGTATTTGATGTATATCAATGACAAGAACATGTAATTAAATCTATTTCAATCCCAGTTCAATAGGGTGTAGACTTTCTATAGGCACTGTATGTGGCCATATAGGACAACTTGGG